AGAAATCATCACTGAAGAAGTAAATCACAACCGGACATATGACGAAGTTGGCCCGCCCCCATACGGTGAAGACGAGGAATATCGACAGAGTCGTGATGAGTGGAATACGCCTCAAATTAACCAGAATTTTACAGAAGTATCGATATCGAAACAACAAGAACCAAAATATTTTGTTCTAGAAACTTCTTCTTTTGGCAGTATTGATTGCACAATACAAACACAAGAGGGCGTCTTAGACAAGTCGGACACGCCGGGGAATCACGAATCACCCCGAGAACCACCGTATTACGTGCTGGAAAAAAATTCTCCCACTGATTGCGAACAACATGATTCGGCGGGAGACATTGAGACGACCGGGAACCCCAAATATTACGTCCTTGAAGGGCCATCACTCGAAGGTGAAACGTCAACTGACGACAATCTGGATAACTTGCAGGAAGTGCACCCCCAGGCGACAGATTTTGCTAATGCAACTGACATCCCAACATCAGAGTATGCCCAACCTAACCGCCCCCTACGGCATGATTATGAAGAGATACCAGACCTAAATTGTGAAGGATTTGTTGACAATGTTGTTTATGAATCTGCAGACATATGTTAAGATTATACCGTAATTTATTGTATACTTTTAACACACGCTGTATACTGCAAATGCATTATTTTTCACTGAGTCTTAATTTCGCCATATTTGCTGATAGGTTCATTCCGCAACATAAAATTCACAATAATGTAAAATAACATTAAACTCATTGTTTTGAAGGCGAGTTATTAATTAAAAACCAAGTGAATATGCTCAAAATATCAAAATAAAATTAAATCTCAGTGGAAACTATAATGCTTTTACAGTACGTTGCATCATGGCTGTCGTATTAAACACGGCATGGCGGCGGAGAAGACTCTGGTGTTTCGTGACAATTAACATCATAGCTCGCAACCCAGTTGTGCAGCCTTTGTGTTGATAAACATGGATTTTCCCACAATCCAATGCGCTTTCTAATGAAATCACGAGTACGAGTTTTGACCTGGTGCACATGCACTAATTACCGCCGGCGACTTCTTCGATATCTTCACAATCACCTAAAAATACCTAATTAAAGCTTGGTAACGTTTCAGTTTGTACTCGTTGATCTGCGCAACAGTCAAAGTCGCCATCTTTGTTTATATGAGACCCATATCTCGCGCATGCGTGGCGTGATGACCGCCGCCTTTAAACAAACGTGTAGCAGTAATGATCAAGAACTGTGTGTCGTATTGCGTAACCGGAAGTCTAGAATTAGCGTGTCGACAGTAGTGGCGCACTTTCAATTTGTGTTAACCCGAACTTCAATAAATCGAAGCATACATAAGCTGCCATTGCGATAGTCGGCATGATACACCGAACACTAAACTTTTGAGTCTGACTCACGGTTTCAAAATCAGTAACAGTAGAAATTGGGGGTAAGTTTAAAACTTTAAACAAATTCTCAAATTGTATAGTCGGTTATGCGTCGTTGTAGAACACTATATATGGATGACTGAATGTAATAAATTAAGAAGTTCATTTACCTTTGAAAGTTCTCACTGGCAGCGTTCGCTCATTTGTCGAATCATGAATGCATACGTTAATCAGACGTATTAACTAACACCATTACTAAAGTAAACCGTACATTATACAGTATCGTTACAAAGTATTCTAGTATCGTGGAAATGTTCATTTACTCTGTAAGTGAATTGATTATTAACCAGAATAGCCATTTCAATACATACGTGAATTATCTAATTGGGCTCAATGATTCATTCGGGCAAATTTTAAGTTGATAAAAAAACAGAAAAAAAACAACTCTTTCGTTCTAAGTTGTCTTTTGCAGTAATTCTATTAGTTACAATTTTACTCTTTTTGATGTTTTTTTTTATTTCCGGAAAAACAAGAAGGAGGTCTAACTTTCACTCGTAGGCTCGTCCGACTTTCATCCATGCCGTACAGTGTCACCGCCTTGTACATGATATTGAGACGAGACACTACTACAACTTGTTCATGCTTTCATAGTGTTTCAAACAAAACATTTACCTGTCAACTTGTAGTAATATATTTAATGGCTATTACGCAACAAGCCTTCATGGCGCAATATTATATTACTTGATGTGTCGTCCGTGTAATTCCAACTATGACTCGATATAATGATTTCATCTTTCCAGGGGGCGTGTTGGGAAATTGAAAATAATACGTGCTGCTGCCGTTCACTATTTCTCGACAGCTGTTCGTCTATTGGTAATTCACGATCACCGGCAAGTTCTGGCACCAATCGCGAAATCTTGGTCGCGGTTTATAGCGCTGCAAAACGCCCACTTTCGGATATACTTACGACGATCGTAACAATGAAGTCCGGGACTCGGTCAGACGACATGTCTCACAAACATTCTTTCAATGTAGCCTCCGGCATGCATTGTATAGCACGGTTCATAGCTAGTTATATATAAACACGCGAACAACTGCCTATGAGCCGATCGTGTTTCCAAAAAAAAAAATAATAACTATTTATATAAGATATTCATTCATCAAGTTTGCCATTCAAATATTAATATTTACACAACATTTACTTTGAAAAAAAGTACTTTTGAAAGTTTTTAAATATTTGCTATAATTACGGTATCAAATAAAGAATTAAGAGTTAAAGTCACACACATAAAAGTGGCATTATCAAATTTTCCTATGAGTCGCGCCCTCTTGTGACGTGGCGTTTATGTGACGTAAATGGGTGACAACGTGATACAGGTAGTTGTAAGCGTTGATAAGCGGAATGGTGTATAGGTCGTCACACTATAACGTCATTTTCGCCAACATACACAAGTATGATAACGAATGTCAATTATTGATCAACATTATCTCGCAATATTGTATAACAATATTGCACGTGAGTTGTTTTATTACAAAACACATACGTGTATATTTAATAGCAACGCCGCTGTTTAATCTTTGGGTGAGAACGACCGGTTCTTGCCAACTAGTCACTGCGCATGCTCACGCGTGCAAAACGTAAATAAGTGCGAAGGCCTATAGAAAAAAAGTAAACATTGTTATTTTCTGTATGGTCAAGTTCCCATGTTGGATTAAAAAGCGTGTCATAGTATTCACCATAAAACTTGTTCATTGATGCCAGACATACTTTATATTCCAAATCCATTTATTGTAGCGGGACAATAGGAACTACTGTAACACATACTCTGCCATTAAATTAGAAGTTTTTAAAGCAACATTGTTATTTGTGTGTACTTTGCAATGATTTATTTTCCACATATTCCCCGGACTCGACATTCTGTGTGGTCTGGTACAATAGTCTGACAAACTTCGCTATTGTGGGTACCTTCCCAAGACGCCGGGCATCATAAATTATTTTCTCCACAGGAAATACTAGTACCTACTTTTGTAGTTCAGTGACCGATCATTTCAGAACGTACTGTATATGATTTGTTGCTATTTTGTTTTAAATGTTTTAACAATATTAGGATTCAACCGCCTACTATTGCCGCACTCACATATTTCCACGAGACGGTTACATCATGGACGTCCATGGTTACATCAAGAATATGATGAACGTATACTTGTTCATGCGATATTCTTAATAATGTCGTCATAAGCAGGAATTACAACAATTAGGCCTTGTCCTCGCATTAGTTTTACCACGGACTGTGTTTTTTTTATAATATTATTTTATCCGGGCATCGAGGGAAGCAGACGCGACTGACACGTGACCACGCCGATGCCTTGACAAGGTAATTTATATGTGTGGCGGTACTTGACATCGATTTTAGTCTTAGAATCAGTCATCTTGTAATAGAGAATTACGTCACCCAACGGCAGAAAAAAAAAGAAGGTGATTTCCTCATCCTTAGGCGACGGGCATACCAGTCCAGTAGTTTCAACCAGTGCCGGCCACCCCTCCATTTCCCTTTTCCGGCGTCTTCAACCTATCGCTCTGATTAGATTTACTTGGCAGGTAACGTGTTAATATGATTAAGACTCGTGTATTGTCTCGGGAATTGACAGCTTGGTCCTCGTTGACAGTCGTTATCGAACCAAATGGCGTCTGGCAGCTAAAGTGTGAACTTAATATAATCAAGTGATATGGGATCTGGTGGGGATAAAGGATTTGTATTTTTGTAAGCCATTCAAATATGCCTTCAACATTTCCCTATTTTTCTTACATTATAAAGTCACCATGGAAATTGTTTATTGTTTCTTCATCAACACACAACAGCCCGCTGCCCAGTTTCCATACCGACAACACCTTACAACCGTCATACCACTTTGAAACACAGGAAAAGAACAGAGGTGCATAAAGATCACTAACTAAATGATGTGTATGTCAATATATAGACTATTTATCTGTTGTTTTATGACCAATCTTGTATGTATAGTGTGCTCATTCCACTGCCATAACTCATATGAACGACGGGAAGCAGTGAACCATGCATCTTTTTTTTATTTAGCTTCATGTTGTGTGGGCAACGAAACAACCACTTTGAAATTAACCTACATATAATAACAAAATCAAAACGAACAACGATGGCTGTGTTCTGAATGATAAGATTAATTTCTTTCTTTACTTTCAGTGGTCGAATTTATGCGTGCCCGCGAAAATAAGGCTGATTGCAGCCTGGACATAATGACTATTGGTCACAGTAACAGCTGTTGAGAGACAGAGGGATAAAGAAGGAAAAACATCCGTGTTTGGACACTGTGAAGGTCATGTTTCATATATATTGGTAAAACGGATAGCAGGTGGTCAATCCACCCAGCCCGAGGTCAAAACAACAGCAGTTTATATATTAGCTTTCGGTAAGAGTGAAGCCTTGGGGGATTAGAATCTCTGCTTGTGTTTGCGCGATCATAGTTTCAATGACCTCAGTTCAGTACATTTGAATAAAAGACGTGTGTAGCTAGAGGAGTTGCCATTGTCTGCGATTATCGACTTTGGTGAGCACCAATAGATTTGAGGCGTTCCACCTCATTGTGTAAGAGTGTCCATGACTCGCTGTCGCGCTGTGGCCTTATTTGGCAGTGGCAATTCACGTCTCACTTAAAACATTACGATGGTGGCGCTGTTCAATAGAAAACTGACTCACCAATCACGGCTCGATTTAATCGCCGCGGCATTCCAACCTGTTGCTTCCGTAATATGTATATATAACCAACCCATCGCCGACACGAGAGCTGTAATCCATACCACTCCCAGCCCACCGCATTTTACTCAACACTGAAAATGGATACACTTCAAAATATTTATTGTGCAAAACTTGTATTAATACTACTCGCCGGGTTTTGTATTTCAAAAGGTAAGCCGATCATTTTACACACACATATATATATATATATAGCATACCGTTAACTTTATTTATTTATATGATATCGGAAGTGGTTGTCACGTAAAATAAAATTCATAGCTGTGAAATTGTCACATAATTATGAAAGTGTCACATAATATAGTTGATTTGCAGTGCGTTTATTCACGGATATCAATGTATGAAGTTGTGGGTCGTGTGTCTGTCAAGAACCACGGTCGTTTCTGGTATTCCTGATCGCTTTCCATGGTGCCATGTCGTACCTGTATTCTTTCTATGCGTATACGTTCCAGGCAGCCTTGGTTCAAATGTTAAACATTATTGTTCTTATAATGTTCTGTGATGATGATCATTACTTTTTCTTCAGCGTCGCCGATTCACCCGTGGATAGGCTCGGAAGGGCGCTTCCATTGTACACTGGCATCGTTCCTCACATCGAAACTTCACTGAATTCAGCTGAGGCCGGGTTCACTCAGTTCTCAACTTCAAGGTCTCAGAACCTTTTCCAGCTGTTGTAAACTTTATGTTTCGTCTATTTTGGGGCAAACTTTTTTCGAGTGCTATTTTCGGATAATATATTCACTTGACGATTTCAGTTTTCGGTCTGCGATGATCAAAACGGTCGATTCAAGGCTTAGACAGCGAGGCGCTGTAAGTGTTCAAAACGGTGTTTAGAGTATTCGAAAAGTAATTCCTCAAATTAATAATTTTCATTTTACTTCAAATTAATAATTTTCACAATTCTTCAAACTAGATATCGACAAAAATGTTCGCCTATTTGGTGGAGAGAGTCCATTTGAGGGCCGCGTCGAGATTTTACGTAACGGCTATTGGACGGCGATTTGCATTGACGACTGGGATCTAAACATGGCGGATTTTGTATGTCAACACTTAGGTAAGTTGGAATGTCGTCACATTTTTGAGTAATTGCAGCTACACCGTCTAATTCCCAGACAAGTGAATAGTTGTATAGCAAAGGACATGCTTCCAGCAGTGGCTGTATCACTTCTTTTGTGTCGGATGATAGGGATTCCGTCCATTGATCTTATTTGAATAACAATGGTTGTCGCGTTTGACGTCACGGCCTTTGTACTGACCGTTTGGGCGATTGTACACCTCTGAAAGTTTCATTACGCCATTAACGCCTGCGTGAAACATCTAAAATATGTGTTGATTTATGACTGCCAATGTGTATATTGTATTTATATGTTATCCGGTCAACTCATTGCTACCTTTCTATTGTGTTATCGTATCAACACGAACAGCCCGTACAAGAACAATAGGATTAAGCAGTGGCTTAATTTCATTTTAAAATCGATTTATTTTCATCATGAATAAAGACGAGTTGAATTATTGCTCACGCAATTAGTGGGTTGTATATGATCAAGTCCACGTTAAATAACATACATTTTTACGGTATTTCGACCTCCTACAAAGCACTGTGGATAATCACAAGTTGATTCAATCACCGTCCCTCGTTGTTGAGGGACGGTGATTCAATGCTTTTCCAGATTATAGGTACCCCGCATTTTGCAAAGTAGTCATACATGCCACAGTCCCTCTATCTGTGTACATGCGTACAGTACAGCATATGCCTCTGAATAGAAACAAAAGCTTCGTTCGACCCCGACCAGCCAATGAAAGAAATAGTTTCAGTTCCTCGAAGTATATTTTAGACCACGCGCCACGATAACATATACTACTGCAGACCTCCATGTCGACAGATTCACAACATTAACAACTCAAAGAACCAGTGTATGTACATGTATCCCACTACACAATGGCATCCCATCACGTGCTCGTGATAAAAACATGTCTCCACTGTAAATGAACATTGTGTACTAAAACGTAATTTAGTGTGATCACAAATTGACGATATCTAAAAATAAATCAACCCGACTGGAGCCAGTCTAGCGATAAAGTGAACCATATACTTTATATTACACTTGCCTATTAGTGATAAAACATGGGTTTTATCGTCACCGTGAACTGAATACGTTGTTTTTATCGGGTATAGAATACTGTCTGTAATGTTATATGAATTACTGGCACGTACCATTAACTCAAAGTGTATGCACGTTCGAGTAATTAATTCATCATGTTACCATTATATGTGCGGAAAAAACAATGTTTTCAGTTAACGATAGTAAGCATGACCAAGCGTGTAAATGAATACACAATATCGAACAACAATCATAGTGAATAATGTCAGAGTACGCCCAATCTACTGCCTCGTTCGTAGCCAGTCATACAATAGTCACTAAAATCGCTTTTTACAAATATTTATTATCTTACCACTAAATAACAGATACATGTTTGATTTAAAACATTACGAATGCCTTCGTTTGTTTTTGGTTTGTTTGTATGCACATACAGTGATCCGTGACCGTATGCGCCCATGAACCAACTTCGGTCATATATACTAGAATATAGTGATCGAAATACTAGTAGTGTGTACTGTGCATGGAACATCCACTTTTCATTGCTGATGATATCGCTTTATCGCCTAGGTATATCAACCGGAGCTATGTCTCTCCAGACTCAACTGCCAACCACTGAGGGCGTCCCAGTAATGACAGGCGGTTTCCGCTGCGACAGCACCAGTACAAAGCCATCAGAGTGCTTTACCAAACAAACTGCATCCAACAGACAAGCATGTCGACCGGCTGGCGTAAAATGTAACTGTAAGTATTATACTTATATTAAAATAAATTTTATATTAAAATAATTTGGGACAACGATTAAAATGATTTTTTCGTAATATGTACCGGGGCGAAATTTTGAGTTATGACGAACATTTTACCATGGAAACAATGGTAAATATCTCAGTGACCATAGAAACAATGGTAAATGTCTCAGTGACCATAGAAACAATGGTAAATATCTCAGTGACCATAGAAACAATGGTAAATATCTCAGTGACCATAGAAACAATGGTAAATATCTCAGTGACCATAGAAACAATGGTAAATATCTCAGTGACCATAGAAACAATGGTAAATATCTCAGTGACCATAGAAACAATGGTAAATGTCTCAGTGACCATAGAAACAATGGTAAATGTCTCAGTGACCATAGAAACAATGGTAAATATCTCAGTGACCATAGAAACAATGGTAAATATCTCAGTGACCATAGAAACAATGGTAAATATCTCAGTGACCATAGAAACAATGGTAAATATCTTCAGTGACCATAGAAACAATGGTAAATATCTCAGTGACCATAGAAACAATGGTAAATATCTCAGTGACCATAGAAACAATGGTAAATATCTCAGTGACCATAGAAACAA